TCGTGTTAGAAGAACCAAGTTAGGAGGTGGAACTCACACCCGATAGCTTGGTTCAGCAGAGAGGGGAACAAAGGTTTTTGAGAGAGGAGAAGGGAGGGAGAAAGAGAGGGAGAGAAACATTGGCCTGCAACCGAGGCATGAGTCCTGACCAGGAATTAAACCCACGACCTTTCAGTTTGCAGGCCGGTGCTCAATCCACTGAGCCACACCAGCCAGAGCTTCTTTTGTTGTTGTTTTCATAATGTCATAAGCTTTCCTGAACAAAAAGGTGGAACACAGCAGAGCCTAAATTCACAGAGCAAAACCAGTTCTCTGAAATTTGAACTCTGCTAAATAGTCTGTATGAAAGCAACTCTATGGAAAACAGTACACAAGCAGGAAAAGTAATACAAGTTTCATCTGAAATAAGAATTTAATCAAATGATAAAGTCGGTTGTCAATTTACTCAGTCGGAGCCCTTCTCTACCTCAATTCCCTAAGCCTAGAGAGGCTTCCTTTCCGGGGACCAAACTCCTCTCGCAGCTTTTCTCTTAGAGGCGCCTTCATAACAGGGCTGCATTCTGACTTTCAGGGCCCTGGGCGGGTTTGCCTTGGGGGGGGGGTCCCTTCCATGAAAAAGATTAAAAATTACATTTTAGTATTGCATTGGTATAAATAAGAATATCATCCAGATCAGATTCATTACTACATTTATTTTTTTCTTCTGTAAATTTTAAAAGTAATTAAAATTAAAGCATTTTCATTAAAGGATGCATAAAAGCATCCTGGGTTTGGGGCCTTGTGTCTGCTGGGCCCTGATTCATTCTATTAATCGTGAGGGCTCCGATTTTCCGTTTACAAGGGAGATGTCAAGTTTCCTTCTTTATGTAAGTGTGTTCAAGTAAACAAAATGAGTCCATTAAACACTATTCTATTCGTCAGCTTGGCCACCATAACGAAATGCCATGGACTGGGTTACTGAAACAATAGAAAGTTATCTTCTTACAGTTACGGAAACTGGAAGTCTGAGATCAGGATGTTAGCATGGTAGGCGTCTGGGGAGGTCCCTCTTCTTGGCTTGCAGATGGCCCCTTCTGTTCGTGGGGGGAGGGGGGGGAGAGAGAATGTGTGTCTCTTCCTCTGCTTATAAAGCCGCAGTTCCATTGCATCAGGCCCCACCCTCACAACCTCAGTTAACCTTAATTACCTCCTAAAGACCCTATCTCCAGATAAAAACCCACTAAAAATTAGGGCTTCAAAATATGCATTTGGAGGGACACAATTCAGTCCGTAGCAAATATGAACATACATAATAGCCTGAGAATGCAGGAAAAATGAAAGCCATGCATTTTGCAGATAACTGAGGTCTAGGAAGAGAAGGTCTTGTGGAGCCAGGATTGGAATTCCTAGGCATTCTGCGCCCTTCAGGACATCATGTGATGAGACACCTGGGCTCCTCTGGCACAGTCCCAGGAACAGGATGATCCCTTCCCCATGGCCTTAGGCCTGCCCAGGGGTGCAGGGCCCAGCCCTCAGCCTGCTCTTGCCAAGCTCTGGGGCCTGGGGGTCCCAGCATCCCCAGTGTCCTCCTGAGAGTATCCAAAGGACTTCAGAGCTGCATTTTGTTTTAATCAGAACACTATCTTAAAAAAACCATTCAGAAAGGCCAAGAAAGCAGAGTCCCTTTAAATCCAGGCAGCAGCACCTTGAGAAAGAAAGGAAAGATAAAGAGATAGAGATAGAGAGAGGAAGGAAGGAAGGAAGGAAGGAAGGAAGGAAGGAAGGAAGGAAGGAAGGAAGGAAGGAAGGAGAAAGAAAAGAAAAAAGAAAGTAAAGGAAAAGAAAAGAAAGTTAAGAGAGAGAAAGAAGCTTTGAAGAAGAATAAACTAGCATTCTATCTAGGGGGCTTCTTCAAAGGCCCGAGCACTTCCGTCACCCAAGTAACCAAATCCTCATCAGAGGACATGCCCTGAGGTAAACAGAAGGGGGTGCTGACCACCCCATTCCCCCAGGGTCTCGTTTTCTCTCCCTTTCCCATTTTAGCCCAGTGGAGGAGAGGCTGAGTGAGGAGAGAGTCTGGAGGCCGAGCAGGAGAGCCAAATCCACCAATGGGCCAGCTTTCCATGCTGGCCATCTGGATGGCAAGTTAGAGTGGTGGTGGGAGGCAAACGTGTCCTTCTGTGAGCTCAGAGCTGTCACCATGGCCTGAAGCATGGCCCAGAAAGGCCCCAGGGAGCTTCTGGCTAAACAAAAAGACTCAGCTGGGTTTTGTTACGGGACCAAACTGGTCCAAGTGCTCAGTAGTGGCCAGACTAAAGACAGCTCCGAGGTGATTTTATGAGAAGGACACACCAGGGATTGTCCTCAGAGCAGTGTGTCCCTGAACAAATCCATCTTCGTTAGGGGAAATCGTGCCTCAACATCAAGGCACACTTGGTCTCGGCATGTGTAGGTCAGGACCTTTCTGCACAGGCAAAGCCGGAAACATGGTTGTGCATACACTGTGTGTTCAAGAATGTCAGAAAGAGTACATCTGCAGCATAGAATGTATTTCCAACATGTGTAACTGGCAAAAGACTTGTATCCACAAAGAATTCTGAAACAAAAGAAAAGCCCAACTGAGCAATGGGCAAATATCAGTTAAGGTAGACTAACAGCTATAGCAGAGCCACCTACAACAGAAGTCGTAGAAATTTATTTTTTTGCTCAGGTAAAGTCCAAAATCGATGTTCTCCACCAGAGGAGGCTCTGCTCCACAAAGTCACTCAGGCACCCAGGACTCAGACACGTGGGGATCTTCAGTATGTGGCCCTCAAAGGCACCCTGGACATTAACATACCAGCAAGCGGATGAAGGAGAAAAGAGAGTTTCATGGGTAGGAGGATTTTCAAGGTCAAGCCTTGAAATGGCTCCTGTCACCCCCCCACCCCCATTCCATTAGCTAGATCTCAGCCAGGGGCTCACAGAACTGCAAGGGGAGGTGGGAAACGTAGTCTAGCTGTGTGCCCAGGAGGAGAAAAAGGAAATAACTTTGATGAACATGGCACATCAGTTTCTGCCCCAAGATAGTTCAACAGAGAAAAATACAAATGGACACTAAGCATGAAAAAGTGCTCAATCTGACGAGTAATTCAAGGAGATAAAAACTAAGACCATCATGAGATATTAATAGATTGGCTAAATGTTTAGATTATGACAACTCCTGAGTTGGGAGAATTTGATGGGATAGTGGCTTGTTGTTTGAAACACCTCTTATCCCACTGGTGAGGGAGGGATTCCTGCCCTGTCATTAGGGGGGTGGCTGAACACATGACGCCTGACATTGGACACACAACAGCTGGCTATTGATCACATGTGCTTCCACCCTGAGGCAGGAGGACTTCAATGCCACACAGGGCCACCCAGAGGCCGGCAGCACACGGGAAGAGAGCCAGCACCCAGGGGCTGCAGGAGTCAGGCTTTCTGGTACCAAGAGGGCGCAGTGCCCCCTGGCTCCCCTGGGAAGAAGTAGGTGATTGGCTTGTTTGAATAATTCTGCAGGCTGGCAGGGAACCAAAATTCAGAGTCAGAGGTAGGCAGGAGCTCTGCCTGGTCCCCTTGATAAGGAAGGTTATTTGGCTGCAGGACCTGATCTGAGGAAGCACAGTGGAGAGGGGATTTGCAGTGAGGCCATTCATGTCTCTCCTGGGTTCGCCGGCTGTCAAAACATCACATAGTATTGAGCCTTCAGCTTAGGATTATCCAGAAAAACAGAACCAACAGGATGGGTGCGTGTATACATACATACATATATGTACACACATGAGTCAGTGGGCACTGAATGGGACAGATTGCCCTCTATAATGTGGGCAGGCCTCACACAGTCCGTTGGAGGCCTTACTAGAACAAATGCCTCGTCTCTCTCTTTTCCTCTTTCTCTGCAGATGGATACATACGTCAACAGTAGATAGCTGACAGATGGATACGTAGCTACACGGCTACATACGGATGTGTAGAGATCTCTCAATAGATAGGTATAGCAAAACAAGTTTCAAAACAGAAGTTACAATCCAAACAGGACTAAATTCACAGCTGAGTAAATAGTCCAGACCTCGGTTTTCTGTCCAGAGAGGTGGCAACAGGGCGTTGGAGGCGAAGGTCAGAGACGGAAATGTGGCAGAGAGCCTGAGCACGCTGCTGAGTGAGAAGGGCCCACACCAGGGAGCCTCTGGGAGCCAGCGTGCAGTTGTGGGGTTGGGGGGCCGACCCAAATGTCTCTCAGTGTGGGACCAAAGAAAAAGTGTGTGCAACAGCCATGCAGTGCGATGTGACGTGGCTGTTAGGGAGAACGAGAGGGCACACCGCCCTGACAATGGAGTGAGAAAGGAACAACCATGTGTGCGGGAGAGGTGTAAAAAATCACACAATTTTATACACAGAGGAGGGTCTGGAAGAACACGCTTGCAACTGTTAGCAGCTGTATCTGGAATAAATTCCTATTTTATAAATGTCTAGGTAGCCTAGACATTTTTTAAAGTATTTTATTTATTTATTTTTAGAGAGAGGAGAAGGGAAGGAGAAAGAGAGGGAGAGAAACATCAATGTGTAATTGCACTCCGTTCTGGGGACCTGGCCTGCAACCCAGGCATGTGCCCAGACTAGGAATCGAACAGGCAACACTTTTATTGGCAGGCCCGTGCTCAGTCCACTGAGCTGTACCAGCCAGGGCGGTAGCCCAGAAATTTTTACAAAACATATATATGATATTGTCATGATAACTTTGACAGAATAATATAAAATTTCCTTAGAAAGAAAGAAATGAGACCAATTCAAATACCTGTAAAGACTCATCACCTGTTTCTTGCTACCCAGGAAACTTTTGTAGCCCTTGGCCTTCTGGGGCCTCCAGATGCATTGTGAGTGCGGGTTTTGTGGTGTTTGTGTCTGAACAATTACTCGGATCTAATTCCTGTTTTTGTCTCTCATTCCCACCTGCCTGCTACCAGAAGACGGAAGGGAGACGAAAAGCAGAGGGACTATTTTATTTTAGTTTGATGAGAACACAACATGAGAGTTACCCTCTTAACAAATGTCAACGGTGCACTGTTGTGGACTGTAGGTACAAGGCTGTTCAGCAGATCTGAATTCGTTCATCTTATTTAACCGAAACCGTACGTCTGTCAATCAATATGACGCCCCAGAAACGCCCTCCCCCGCACTCCCTGGTAACAACCCCCATGGCAACCCCCGGTTTTATAAATTTGACTATTTTAGGAATCACATAGTATTTGTCTTTCTGCGTCTGGCTTGTTTCATAACATAACGTCCTCAAGGTCCAATAGGCTGTCTCACATTGCAGAATTTCCTTGTTTTTGAAGCCTCCGTAGCCCTCCTCTGCTCGTACAAGTCACAGTCTCTTTACCCTTCATCTGGTGATGGTCATCCAGGTTGTTCCCTCCTTGTAGCTCCGGTGAACAGTGCAGGCACGGGAGTGCAGACGCCTGAGAGGAGGGTTGTCAGCAGGAAGGTCCTATGAATGGACACTCTCCAGTGGGTTCCCAGGAAGACTCGGTCCCTGGCAAGGTGAATGGGAAAGAGCCCAGGTGAGACAGACTTGTGAGGAAGAGGATGAACGAAGATGTCTGGGGGGGGGGCACTGGCAGCAGGAACCCCCACGGCCCGTTCACTCCTGGCCCCCAAGCCTGTGCTCCTCCCCCCAGAGAGGGCTATGTCTGCAGGAAATGAAAGACAAGGCTCAGCCCGTCTTGTGAAGCAGCGTCCACAACCCCGCCAAAGGGAAAGCCGAGACGCAGCTCTCAGAATGGCAGCAACAGTCTTGTACAGACACACGGTGAGAACCTGAATGAGACGAACACCAAGCTGGCAAAGCTGACTCAAGGAATGATGCGGGAAACTGGTGTGTGTGTGCCTGTGTGCCCGGTGAAAAGGAGAAGATAGAGCTAAATAGCTACAAACTGGCTACTGCCCTGCAGGACAGCAAGGCCACAGCCTTGGAGTGATCATGATCATCTCTTCCAAATGTTTCCATTTCACTCTCGTCTTTACCAGACCCGCCCCCCCCACCCCAAGAAAATGTGCATCTTCCCCATTTGGGCAGGTGTACATCTGACATGACAGACTCCGGTCCCGGATCCATAATAAATAACAAGTCACATTTTATTCCCCTAGAATGGGTTGCTCAGGGCCCTGGAAAGAGGATTGAGCCCCGATGCCCAAGGCCATCCTTGTCACCAGTCGACACCTCTCTGCGTCTGGATGGCACTAGCCAAGTCCTGCCTGTGCCAGCGCTGAGAACATTATCACTCGAACGATTCTCTGTGTTCTGAGAGTCAACTGACCCAGCTTCTTCTGCCTTATTTCCAAGTTTTGTACAATTTTTCTTCAGAAGAAAGTGTTCACCCACAGCAACTTGAACCTTCAGTATCTGAGGACCGAAGTGGGAGAAAAACATGATAAAATGTTCTGAGTACAGAAAGAGCTTCAGTGAGAACCAGAACCTCATCCAGCACCAGAGGGGAGAAGCCATGCACACCTAAAACACGGGAGGAGAAGTCCCTGGGGGCTCCCCCGTCCTCACCCATCAGAAGGGAAGGTTCTCATGCCGGAGAAGATCTGGGAAGGACTGAAGGCGCAGCCCTAAACCAACTATCTGGACACCCAGACTAGGGAGGAATTCCCCCAACACCTCAATTAAGTCAACCTCCAGCCACTCTGCTGGAGGAAGTGCCACTGCCTTAGTCAGGGAGAGTTTCGGCTTCAGCTCCCACGTTTTCAGGCTGGAGAGTCTCCACTCAGCAGACACACCCTCTGAATGTCCAGAGTGCAGGCACGGCTTCGGCCGCAGAGCTGAGGCGGCTGATGGAGGTAGAGCTGCAGGCTGGGAAACCTCTCCACCAGGCCTTGTCTGTCCTGAGACTTGGGTCCACGGAGCCTCAGACCCCGCAGCTGGGCCCAGGAGGCTCAGTCTGCTGCCTGCTTCAGGCTAGCCCCGGTGTGTGCCAGTGATTTATATGGGTTAATGTAACCGAATGCAAGTCCGGCTGCCGGACACTTGGAAAGCCAATACTGAAGAGGCAGGTGCTGATGTAAAGGAAAGTAGTTTATTTTCAGATGCCAGCCATCTGGAAGATGGGGGACTCATGTGTCAAAGCCCATCTCCACATCTCAGTGGAGGCAGGGGTTTTTGTAAGGAGGGAGAGGAGAAGAGAATGAAGAGATCAAGGAAGGGGGTTGCAAAGTCCTCCTGGTGCAGAGGAGCACGGTCCATTCCAATAAGGCCAGCGATGGTCTGGCGTGCGTCATCCTGGTTTAGTCATCCTGACTTCACGTCAACCTGCTCCATAGAGAAAGGTCAGCACATCTCCCAGAGCTGGGATGCCTGAAGGTCAGGGTCTGTGTGTTTTGAAGTTAGTTCCTAGGATTCTTACACAAACGTGCTACTCATCGACAAGCTACATATTAGTTAGAGTCAGCACTTAGAGAAACAATGTCAGAGGAAATGGTGGGACAGGATTACAATGAATACAGGGTTACAATTAATACAATGAATAACAGCCCCGCTGTTACAGTTAATACAGGGTCAAACAGACGGGGTCCATATTTTTACTCTGTCACTTACTAGCTCTGTTGAATGAATCAGTGAACTTCTGTGAGTCTCCTTTTTTTTCTTCCATTTAAGGTGGGATTAATATTAGCACCCACTTCCTATGTGTCAGGAGAATTAAGGAGAAGTTGAGTAAGGTTGTTTTCCACCAACTTCTTTTTGTTTGTTTCTCGGAACCCACAAGCTCAACGTGCCCTCGAGGCCCTCAGTTGGGCCCTGGGATAGAGAAGTAGTACGTGTGCCGCTGCCGCAACTATGTGTGAGAGGAACTCAAAAACAGCCTGGAGGCTCTGCTAGGAATAAATAATAAAGATTTACTCGAGGGTCTTTGAGTTTGCATACCAGCGACACAGGTAGGCAAAAACCCAGAAGTGTCCCAAAAAATTAAAGAAAGGATAAATGTTCTTATGGTAAAAAGAACATTCTTGGAAATAATCAGTCCTGCACTCTTAGCCCCAGGACTGGTCCAGGATGGGTATCAGTCAAATGTCAGGCAGTCTGGTTGATGGATGTCAGCTGGATGTCAGCTGGTCAGGATACCCGAGTCCTTCGGCGGGGAGGTAATCAGAGGTTATCTGGATGTTTGGTGCATAACCAGGCATGGACATGGGACTGGCAAACTCAAAGGTCAAGTCCCCAGGTTACTTAAAACAAGAATAGAATTGTTTCCTCAGGCTTCAACCTTCTCGATGTTAGTAATTCAGCAGCTTGACTGAAGTGCCTCCATCTTATTTCTGGCATGGACATGCAGGAACGTCCCCAGGTGTAGGAGGTTCCCCAGTGGGCTCAGGAACCGAAACTCCAGCCAAGCAGGTGCAGAGTGTTTATGGGTCATTTCCAAGGACCCGCAAGGAGACATACAAATAGCCTCTCTCATTTCCATCCCAGGTCAGTCCCTGTGCGTAGCCCTTCTGGTGCTAACAGCCAACTTTCTGGAATGTGCCAAAGTGGACAAGCCCAGCAGTGAGACAATCACAGAACATTGGAGCTGTCTCGGGCCACCAGAGACCGACCGCCTTGTTTTTCAAACGGGGTGGGGTTGCCAGATGAAGCAAATAAGATACAGAATGCCCAGTTCAATTTGAATCTCAGGTAAATGACAAAAAGGAACTTAGTATAATTATGTCCCAATATTGTGTGGACCATGGTTGAAAAAAATTTTTTTTGTTTGTGTATCTGAAATTCAAATGTAACTGGGCTTCCTGTGTTTTATTTGGCAACCCTGAGAGGGGAGGGGCTGAGAGGGAGGCCAGGTCTCCCAGCCGGGTCCGCTGGTTCCCAGGCCACTGCAAACATCCCCTGTCCCCAGCGTACACCCAGCTTTCCGTTTTTTACTTAAGGCTAGCTGGGCCGAGTGTCCGCATTCCTTGACTGTGTCACATGAGAAGGGTCACTGATCCCAGGTCTCAGAGAAGGGAAGCAGCACACTCCCCCAGCACAGAAGAGCAGGGACCAGTCCGGAGCTGTAGGCCCAGTCCAGGCTGATCTCCCAGTGAGGCGCCCTTGGGCCAGACACTAAAGGCCCCGAGGTTCAGTCTCTTACCTATCAAGTGGGCACAGAGGGGTCTGTTTTGAAAGGGTTTCTTTGAAGATCAGCTCCGATTACCGATTTCTGAAAACCCAGTTGCCCATGGATTGTGGAGCCACTTCTGTGGCTATGTTTATCATGAACCATGAATGTGCTAAACTTTCTTGCTAAGAAGAGCTGGGAGCTGCACCCAAGCTCCCAAGGAACTTTGGGCTAAATCCCTGCTCTGGCCCCCAAAGCCCACCAAGGGGTGCCTCCCATCGGATTTACGGGAACTCACGCCACAATCAATCATCTTTAATTTGTAACTGGGCAGTGTCCTGGGCCAGCCAATAGCGAAGACCGACCCCCCCCAACACACACATACACCCCACCCTCCCTGATCCCGTGGGACTATCCACTCGGTCTGCACTGAAGCAACCCAGTCACCGGGAGTTGGAAGCAGGTTTGGTTCTTTCGAGGGGAAATGGGGAGGGGGTCTTCTCATCTCCCTATTTCCCTCCCCCATTTTCCCTGCCCCCCTGTTATCTCTGCAGTCTGTACAGACTTGCCTCCGCTGGAGACTTCTGCCTCCCCCACCCCCTCCCTGCCCTCCTGGGTCGTGGTGCCTGGTGCCTGGCCCCCTCTGGACCTCCCCTCCTCCCCCTGCTTCTGGCCTCATTGTTTGGCTAAAGCAGGACCCCCAGGAAGGAACAGATGGACTGAGACCCGGGCCTGTGGGGGGCGGGGGGGGGGGGGAGGCAGAGCCAGCCAGTGCCGGGAAAGGGGAGCAGTTTTGGGAAAACAAAACCGAGGGAGGAGCCTGGGAGAAAGTGGCCGGGAGAGGGCGGCTGAGGGCGTTGCTGAGAGGGGCTAGGGCCGGAATGGAATGAGGCGGGCCCCAGGGTGGGCCCCCCTGGGGTGGGCCCGGGGTCCTCCAAGCTGGCTCCAACGCTGGCTGGCTGCGCAGGTCCGCATTGACGTTGCCTCCCAGATGGCCTCCAGGCTGACCTCGCTGACCCTCCTGCTGCTGTTGCTTCTGGCTGGGGTGAGTGGCCCCTTCAAGGGAGGGGGCAGGGGTGTGTGTTTGGGATTAACCCTTCAGGCCCCGGAGAATGAGGAGAGGTCCTCTTAGGATCAGCCAGTGTAGTGTGGTCCTTGCTGCCCCATTGTTAGGGGGCCTGGGAAGAGCCGGGGACCCAGACGAATGCAGGTTTGGGTCCGACCTGCCAGGCACCAGCCGTGATGGCCCTCAGCAGGTTGGTGCTTCGAGCCTAACTGTTCTGATTCATCAAGTGGAAAATGAAGGAGAAAGACCACACAGGGCAAGGAGCTGGACAGCCCTTTGCGATATAAAAGCAAGGGTTGTTGTGCACACTGAGCTGGGTGGAGGCTGGCAGCTGAAACACAGGTTCTCCTCAGTGGAAACCGAGGAGCAATCACACCTGGGGCTGGGTGGGTATCAACGACAGTGAGAGGTCCCGGTGGCCCGGGAGGGCAGGGGTGAGGGCTGAACAGGAGCGAGGTGGATGGCTGCCCTGGCCTGTGTGTTCATGTGTGTTCATGTGTGTGGAAGGTGGCTCGAGCAGTGCCCTTCGAGACTCAACCGGTGATGCCGTGATGAGCAGGGACCTGGACTGAGACGGAGGTTGCACTCTTAGTTTTCCTCCAGCTTCTGCGAGACTGTGGGCCGGTTTCTTAGTATGACTCAGCATCAGTTTCTTTTATCAGTGAAATGGGGGTAAATGCATGGTTTCTCGACCCAGAACACTCAGCATTTGGAGCCGGATAATTCCTCAGTGTGAGTGGCTGTCCTGTGTGTTACAGGAAGTTTTGCTGTATCCCTGGCCTCCACCCACTACATTCCAGTAGCATCTCTGCCCACCCCCCTTCTCTCCCTTATGACAGCCAAACATGCACCTAGACATGGCCACACATCCTCGGGGTCAAAACTGTGACTGAGTGCCACTGGTCAATACCATTCCTTCCTTCCCCCTCTCCTTCTTTCTTCCTTCGCCTCCTCCCCTTCTTTCCCTCCATCCTTCCTTTCTTCCTTACTTTTGGGATGCCCGTTGTCTTCAACACCCACTAATGGGTTGCAGCCCACAATATGAGAATCCACTCGTGCTAAAGCAAAGGCCACAAGCTCAAATGTCTATAGTGGGCAGGAAGGTATTTCCTTTTTTAAAGTCTTTCTTCCTTCCTTCCTTTCATTTCCTTCTTTTCCTTCCTTCCTTTTCTTTCTGTCTTTATTCAGGGAGGGAGGCGGGAAGAAAAGAGGAAGAGACACATTGATGTGAGAGAGAAACATCGATAAACTGCCTCTCCTATGCATCCCGACTGGGAGTGGAACTGCAGCCTGGGCGTGTGCCCTGACTGGGACTCAAACAGGAGACCATTTGCTCCGCAGGACGACACCTAACCCACTGAGTCAGGGCCAGATATTTTCTTTTTTAGACTGCAAGAACACAGATAAGTGCCTGTTAACACTCAGCTCCCAAGTGTGGGAAACAGCTAGCAGTAAGTGGTCAGCAGAGTCCTTGCCCACTACTCCTCATCTTCTGCCGAGAATGTCCCAACCCCCTCCCCCACCCATATTCTGCCTTGACCCCTGTTCTGAAGGAATTTGTGGCCATGACTCCAGAGCAGGCCCCTCACCCACCAGGCCTTTTTGGAAATTATCTTGGGTACAGGACATTGTCCACATCCCCACCTTCTCTTCCTGTTTTGAGTCTTGGAGGGTCCTGTGCCTCATAGAAAAATGAAACACAGTTTCTTGAACTACAGGGCAGAGCCTCCTCAGACCTGAAGGATACTGACCATGGCCCTGCAGATGCAGAGAGCCTGCCAGAGGAAGGCAAAAGAAACACCTTAAAGAAAGGGATCCCCGAGAATCAACCCATTCAACCCACCGGGGGCAAAGAAATAAAGGAAGAGGTTCCTGAGAATCAACCCATTCAACCCACCGGGGGCAAAGAAATCTTAGAGGAAGAGGTTCCTGAGAATCAACCCATTCAACCCACCGTGGGCTCTTCTCCCACACCAACAACCAACTCAGCCATCCTCATAGCCAATAGCACTTTGCAAAGCACCTCTCAGCCCGGCATTGAGTCAACCACTGAACCTACCCTCCCAACTACCCAGCCCACTACTGGGCCCCTCTGCCCGGAGCCTGACACCTACTGTCCTAACTCGGAGGACCCTTCAGTAAGGACCACGCTGCAGCAGGCTTTGGTAGATTTCTCCCTGAAACTCTACCATGCCTTCTCGTCCGTGAAGAAGCCCGAGAGCAACATGGTCTTCTCACCTTTCAGCGTTGCCAGCCTGCTCACACAGGTCCTGCTTGGTAAGACCCTGATTGAGTCCTGTCCAGCTTGTATGTCGGACCCTCCCAGGAGGGTCCCCAACCCAGATACCTACAGAGCTGTGCCTCGGTGAGGAAGCTATACAAATGGGCTATATTTGAGGGGAGGGGAGATGTAATCTTTTTATTCTTGAACTTTTCTGTATTCCTTCCTGCCACAATGATTTAACAGGCACTCTCGCTTATAAAACCAGATGGACTGTGCAAGAACGTATGAAACAGGGTCCCACCCGCCAACCATGGCCTGAGTTCAGATGATAAGGGAGATGAAACTGAAAGAGGTAGAAGGAGAATAATATTGTGAGGCTGCTGCTTTTGAGCTGTGTGGCCTCAAGCCGATCACTTAACATCTCTGAGCCCGAGTCCTCCCTTAGAAAGTGGAGGTGGTTTTACTTACCTCAGAAAATTAAGCAGATAGTCCAGTGCCTGGCTTGATGGGAGGTCGGAAAACGGTAATCCCCCTCCCTTCCTGAGGGGTCACTCTCGAGTGCTCTAGGAATGACACAAACAAGTTGCTACAAGCAACAGAGACAGAACGATCACTAGGAGGGAAATTCCAGGAAGGCTGTTGGAGACAACAAAGTGAGCCTGTGTCAGAGCTGCTCCTCTGGAGGCCCAGAACCCTCGTACCCCTAACCTCTGCCCCCTAGATGCCGGTAGCATCCCCGCAGTTATGACGAGCGAAGTATCTTCAGACATTGCCAGTGCAGTTTATTGGTTTCAGTTAATTTCTTTATTGCCCAAAAGATACAGCTTGAATCCTGTCTCCAGCCTCTACTTAGGAACTCTGTGATGTGTTTTAAAGATTTTATTTTATTTATTTTTAGAGAGAGGGGAGGGGAAGGAGAAGATAACAGAGATAAACATCAATGTGCGGTTGCCTTTCATGCATCCCCTACTGGGGACCTGGCCCACAATCCAGGCATGTGCCCTGACTGGGAATTGAACCGGCAACACTTTTGGTCACAGGCCGACACTCAGTCTACTGAGCCACACCAGCCAGGGCTGAACTCTGTGATCTTAAATGAAGTAGATCACTTAACCTTTCAAACCTCTGTTTCCTCATCTGCACAATAAGGCTAATGATCGTCCTTATGTATAAGGGTGGTTATGATTCAACGAGATACTGTGGGAAAAGCACTTACAGTGTGTGCCACCCAGGAAGTGTTACTGCGCAGAAAGTGTGTGTGGTGAATATTTAATAATGAATAACTGACAGGATAGTGAACATCCGTTCTCTTTGACGATTCTGTGATGTCTCCTCTTAATGGTGATCTAGTGGCCCTGCCTGTAGGGTGAACCTGGGTAAACCTAAACTAACTAAATAATATAGTTCATGTGGAACAGGCACTGGTTGGACCAGGCTTTGACTGATGAGTGGAATGAGTATTAGGTAGAAAAATAGGGAAGGGGAGCGTCTGAAGGCCTGGAAAAGCCTCACTGCCATGTTCATAATCCCTCCCACCCCCCTCTCTCTCTCATATACGCACTATCTCCCAGAACTACGCTTCCGGCCCTGGTGTTATGTGATTCCCCACCCCATTCCAGCCTGGTCCCTCAAAAGTGGTCCTGATGGTGGGTCCCCCACATCTCCTGCAGTTGGCCCTCATCTCCTCCCTTTGTTGTAGGGGCTGGGGGCAACACCAAGAAAAACCTGGAGACCATCCTCTCCTACCCCGAGGATTTTGCCTGCGTCCACCAGGCGCTGAAGGCCTACCCATCCAAAGGCTTCACTTCAGCCTCTCAGATCTTCCGCAGCGCAGGTGAGTGCTGGGACAGGGACGGGGAGGCCACTGCTGAGTGGGGTCCTGTCCTGGGGGGAGTCTGAGGGGGACCCAGCACGGGGGGGAAGGACAGAGGGAATGTCAGAGCTAAAATACCCAGGATGGACTGCAGAACAGGGGGTGGCCTCAGCAGACATACAGGGACACCAGAGAGCCCATGAGATTTTGGGCAAGTTCTTCGTATTCATCAACTCTGTTCAGAATAAGAGTTTATGAATAGTTCGTGAATAAGAGCTAGAGACATAAAATAGGCAAAAAAAATGTCTGCTAATCTGGGTCGGGAGTGTCTTGGGCCTCCTAGTCTATGTACTTTTTTTTGTATTATACACATTTGTTGTCCTTTACACGTGTTAGATTGTTAAGCAGGTAATAATGGCAATAAGCTTCCAAAAGGATGGAATGCAGTTCTCCTCAAAGTCTGGTACACAGAGCCCTGGGTTTCAGCAGAGCTGCTTCAGAAGTCATGGTGCGGGTGGGCATGGGGGGGGGGGGCGCAGAGTGGGGAGGGGGCACCCGTCCTGACAGAGGGAAGGTGGAGTCAACCGTTCGAGCTGCCGCCCAGGCTCAACCAAAGACCTTCATAGTGTGGGCTTCAGACATGACCAGGTTTGAAACACAGTTCTCCGCTCTTGGAAAAGATTTGGAAACTACAGATCTAGTTTGGCCCTCTCTTTAAATAAAGGGGGAAAATGTTTTCTTGTCTGTTTTTAACTGATGAAAGCCATACGTATTCATTGTAGAAACTGAGAAAATACCAAAACACAAAGTGAAAAAAAAACCTCTTTTTAGGGATGGGAAAATGCGGCTCAGAGGTGTTTGAGCAGCGTCACATTTACTTATTTGCTAGGAATCCACCTTATCCTCTGCCTTGCCGGGTTGGTGGGAAATACAACTGCATTCCGTATCAGTTATTTAATCCAGGGAGCATTTCTCTTTCAAACGCTGTTCTCTTTAGTGGACCTGGGCTCTGGAGAGCAAAAGCCGAGGAGTCTTATTTTAAACTTACGCTGAGGCCAGCAAGCAGACTCTGTTGCCTCTTGAATTAAGAAAAGTAAGGGGGGGAAAGACAGACAAACGGACGTTCCGAGTTTCCTGCCCCCACCCCCAGCCGTGCTCGTGCAGCAGGCAGAGGCTGGTGCAGCCTAGGATGAGGTCTGCTCCAAGGTTAGGGTTTGCCTTCTTGGGCCTCACTGTCCTGTCTGTTAGGGGAGTGGCCCGGACCCCTGCTCCAGCGTGCAGTGAAGTGCGCCCGAAGAGTGGTGGGAAACACACCCCCTCTCAAAGCCTGCTCTTGGAAGGTGGGGCAGGGGATTGTCCAGGGGACTCATGCCCACTTCTCTTGATCTGCTCCCCCCGCCACAGACCTGGCCATAAGGGATGCCTTTATGAATGCCTCTCAGAATGTGTATGGCAGCCCCGGAGTTCTGGGAAATGACAGTGATGCCAACCTGGACCTCATCAACGCCTGGGTGGCGGAGAAGACCAATCACAAGATCAAGCAGCTGCTAGACAGCCTTCCCTCCGACACCCGCCTGATCCTCCTCAATACCGTCTACCTGAGTGGTAAGGGGGTCCTCCCTCCCCCCTTTGAAGCCCACCTGGCCCCAAGTTTCATGACTGCACCCCACTGTACATGACCTGTCCCACCCCTTGCTAACAGGCAGTGAGCTCTACATCCTTTCCCCTCTGTCTTTCCTCTAGCCAAGTGGAAGATACCATTTGAACACAGAAAAACCAAGAAGGAGCCCTTTCACTTAAAATCCTCTGTGATAAAAGTGCCCATGATGATCAGCAAGAAGTACCCAGTGGCCCATTTCACTGACCCGACGTTGAAGGCCAAGGTCAGTGCTCGACTCTTCTCACCCCTGTTTACTCGCCTCTTGCGTGTCCTGATTCTTTTCTGCTATGGTTTGAACAGCCCCATTGGTTTGGGGCGCACCCTTACTAATTTCTACTCCTCCCCTCTGTATTTCCACCCTGTTCTCTTCTCTTTCTGTCTTCTCCAGCCTTGGCCAAGGTACGCATTATAAAGTTTTAGGCTGGAAAGCAGGATTCTAGTTTCTTCATTCATCTCTACTCCATCAAATGGCAAGAAGTGAGTCATGTTTCTATTCTCTTCATCTGATATAGGCATGCATGTACAGCATGCATGCACATACACACATGTATAGGTATATCTTATGTGTGCGTGCATGTGGTGCATGCACACACGTGTGGTGCACGTGTGTTTAATGGCTCAAGTTCCTTAGCAGAAATCGAACAGTATTATTTCAGTGGATCGGAAGGGAGGGAAGACCATACGGGAAACCAGAAGATTCTCGTTCGTCAGGCGTCTCACGCCCAGTGATCAGATAGTTCTGCCTTTGAGCCGGGCAAGAGCCAGACCTGTGAGACAGAAAACAGTGGGAGACACCCAGTGACTTCGTTCCAGGCTGAGAAGTGAAGGATGTGTCGTGCAGCACACCAGGCTCGTGTCCACCTTGGGAGCCACCCTTAGCTTTCCCGCTGCCTACACCCTTCTTCACTGAGATTTTCACACACCTTGTTCCTCTGCTCACCCAGGTGCCAGCTCAAAGATGGCCTTGGTGGAGGGGCCTTCCCCTTCCTTGGAGTGGTCCCCTCCTCACCCCGCAACATGACCATTTTATTATATTCATAGTATTTACCACTATCTGAAATTATGTTATTTGCTCATTTGATTACAGTATTGTCTGTCTTTCTCCTGGGGGACAGAGGCCGTCCCTGTCTTGTTGCCTAGAGCGTCTCCTGTGCCTAGAACACTGCCACCTATAATAAGTGTGCATGGCCTGTTTGCTGAATGGTTGAATGAATTCCATAGAGGGTGCTAGTATGTGTGTCTGGGAAGACTTCACAGAGGAGGTTGCTTTTGACCATTCATGCACTTTTCCACCCTTTCCTCCCCATTCAGTGAATATGACCATTCATAACTACTTAACAAACCCAGAACAGCATGTCTAAGGCAGAGAAGAGTGAATACATATGGCACGTTCAGGTCATCGCTCTCACTCAGAGTGTATGGTTGGGAGGTATCAACAGGAGGTCCTTTTTTGTTTTTTAAAGAATGATTTTTTTATTTTAGACAGAAAGTGGGGAGTGACACAGACTGACAGATATTAATTTGTTGTTATACTTATGCATTGGTTGCTTCTTGTATGTTCCCTGTCTGGGTGGGGATCGAACTTGCAATCTTGGTGTATCAGGGCAACACTCCAAGCAGCTGAGCCACACTGGTCAGAATCTGGCTGTTGCTGGCTGAAATGGTACAGATCGGAGTAGCAGACTGACGATCGGCCTTGGGGACCCAGTGATTAGATGCATCTCTTTTTCTCCAGGTGGGGCAACTGCAGCTGTCCAACAACCTGAGTATGGTGATCCTGATACCCCAGACCATGAGGCACAGTCTCAAAGATGTGGAAAAGGCCCTCAGCCCCGCTGTCTTCAAGGCCATCATGAATAGGCTGGAGATGACCAAGTTCCAGTCCACTTATGTGACGATGCCCAGATTAAAACTCAGTAGCAACCAGAACATGCTGACAATCATGGAGAGCCTGGGTGAGCCCTGGCAGCTCAGAGTTGCTCCCAGACCATCAAAGGAGGAATGGGTGTGGGGTCATCTCTAAAATGCATTTAGTGCTCTCTAGAGTATTTTTTAAAAGATTTTGTTTATTTATTTTTAGAGAGGGGGAAGAAGGGAGAAAGAGAGGGAGAGAAACATCGATGTGGTTGCCTCTCAGGTGCCCCCTACACACTGGGGACCCACCCAGCAACTCAGGCATGTGCCCTGACTGGGAATCAAACTGGTGACCCTCTGGTTCACAGTCCAGTGCTCAATCCATTGAGCCACACCAGCCAGGGCTCTCTAGAGTATTTTTTACATCTATAATCTCAGGTTGTCCCTCAGTCCTGTGTTAGCAGGACAGGCACTGTTATCTCGTCACATCATTGAGGAAATGACCCAGAATGTTTACATGACTTAGCCAAGGTCCCTTGAGCCAGTTATAAGTGAATCAGAACATGAAACCAGGTCCACCTCTCTCGATTATTTGCATCGTGGTTCACTGTGACATTGGGACAGGTGACTAAGGTGGGCCGTGGATGCTCCTCCCCCAGAGACATTTCATAACATGCACCACCCCATGGACTATGCAAAAAGCACTCAGAATAAGAGGTGATTAGAGGCTTCTGAGTTTAGGAGAGGGAACAGAGACTCTATTTCTTGCCCTTCCACCTCACTTGCAGCTAGATCACTTCATTTTCTGTTAAAGACCTTGACCTTCCCAATAGACAACTTTGTTTCCTAGTATATGACATCACACCCTTGTATATGACCTTATTTGATAACATATTACCTCTTTTTTATATAGTACCTCACTTCCAAAGTCTTTGTTGACAAGGAAGCAGGGACATCATTTTTCAGGATTTTGGGGGGGTGGGGACAGGGCCTCTCACCACTTTCGAGCGGTGGTTGGAGTGAAGATGGCCCCACTGGCAGAGGAGCCCAGAAAGTGGACCGGAAGGTATGATACACATTTTGATAAGCAAGGAGGAGGAAGAGAGTATTGGGACCAACCCAGAAAATTCAGGACGAATGTTCCCAACAGCTGAGGGTTTTGTGCTGGCCTTTAACTGTGATTTTCTCTGGTTATACCCTAGAATTCTACGACTTTTCCTATGAGCTCAACATGTGCAGGCTGACGGAGGACCCAGACCTTCAGGTTTCTGCGATGCAGCACCAGGCGGCGTTGGAGCTGACGGAGGCTGGAGTGGAGGCTGCTGCAGCCTCGGCTGTCTCGGTGGCCCGCTCTTTGATGGTCTTTGAGGTGCAGCAGCCCTTCCTCTTCCTGCTCTGGGACCAGCAGCACAGGTTCCCCATCTTCATGGGGCGGGTGTATGACCCCAGCATCTGAGACCTGCAGGGGCCAGTCCAGGGCCAGCTGTACCCGGTCGCAGCCCCCCACCCCTGCCACCCCCTGCTGCCTGCCTGAACTGGTCTCCAGCCACGTCCCACCTCTGGTGACCTCTGTCCTCCACCTGAAGGGCACCTTCAGAGTCTGGTAAAGGGACTGCCTTCTAGCATCCCTTCCCTGTGACTCTCCAAAATGCTTTTTTGCAGCTTTCTCTGGTTCAAGTTCACTAGACTCTACAAAATAAAAATTGGCAAACCACGACTTCATTTGCCTTTCAGTTTTAAAGGCCAAGGGTCACCATGCCCTTGTATCAGCTAGCTTTTGCCTTGTAACAGGTCACTCCAAACTAGTGGCTTAAAACAACAACCATTTATTTTTTCAACTAGGCCTCAGGGTTGGCTGAGTGGGCTGGACCTGGCTGAGCTACCCTGGGCTCAATTTTACATCTGTGATAGTTGGCAGGTTGGATGACTCCCAAGAAAGGAGTCAGAAACAAGCTTTTTCATGGAAGCTCCGCATCTCTACTGGTGTCAAGGTTATCATTGTCCCATCCGCCAAAGCAAGAGAGTCCCATGGCCAGACCTGGAGTGGGAGCAAACAGGCACTAGAGTTCCTGGGCAAAGTCATTAACTGGAGGCTTTTTGTGCAGTTCCCTTGTTCCTGTCTCTGTCTCACTTATCTGTCTGTGACAGCAGTGATGTCAGTAACTGACATTGCCGGCAGCTGACCCAGGCAGTCTGCTGAGATCTCTGCAGACATTCATCCTCAACAACTTTATATGGTAAACTCTCCAATCGAAGGGGCTGAATCTTGCTCTAAGGCATGCAGTTAGAAAAGGGCAGGCTTGGGGTTCAAAAGCACATCTCTATGGCTCTTAAGTCTAAGCTCAGAGCCCCCATCTGTCTCTGCCCTTCTATCTTAGAATCCTGGCTTTTTCCTAATATTTTCTTTATTTGTCCAGCAAGTACAGTGCCTTTATGTCTACCGTGTGCTAAGCACAGAAGGCATAAAGATGAGGTAAGCTAGTGCCTACCTTGAAAACCTACAGCTTGATGAGGGAGATGGATAGGAAGATAGATTTTAGCACACGGTGTTCTTCCTGCCTCTGAAGATGCCTCTTACTGTGTTTTTCTCGTTTCTAGCTTATCCTCATAGACTTACTGATGCTCCAGCCCTTAGCCCTGCTGTCTCCTGCTTTCCCTTTCTCCCTCCTAATCCCATCTTTTTGTCCATCCCCTGTCATTCTTTTTCTTCATCCTCCACTGTGTCTGTGTACTCTCCCTCCCTTCCCCTCTCCTGGGTACAGGGTTGTCCACCCAAACACGCTGACTGGGATTTCTGGGTTCAGCCCCTGCTGCTGCAGTTCCTGTCATCCCTGCTCCCCTCCCCACTGCTCCCCCCCCCACCCTGCTCTCACACACCCAGACCTTCAGGTTCACAACCACGAACAGCACTAGAGGAACATGTGCACCCTAGGATGGCAATAGGGATTTGGCCGCCAGTCCACAGCCACTTCTCAAGCATCTACCATAGAGGGTCTCATCTTGGGTCAAGCTAGTTCTGCCCAGTGTTTCTATGGGGTGAGTGTTTCCCTTAAAGCTATCACCGCCCACAATCACCGCCACCAGGGTATGTGTTCACACCCCTGCTGCACCCAGCAGAATCTGGCTTCCCCACCCCCTTCTCACAGAATAGCCTGCTGATAAGGAGAAAGCGAGGCACGGGGCAGTGCAGTCAGTGGCCTGGCTGGCAACTGCAGCTGGGCTGGCAGCTCGCGGCCACCGTAGGGGCTGGTCCCCTTCTCTACGTCCTGGGCTGGGTGCAGCTTCTCGAAGTGCGAGATGGGAGGCGACCCAGGCTCCCAGTGTGCTCTTTCTAGTTTTTGCATGCTCTGGTGGAGGTCAGGGGTTTCCGAGAGGGGGAAAAAGAAGACGGGGTTTGAGGCTTATTTGCAGCTTATCCCCTGCCCAGTCATCTACTGTCAACCTGCTTTCCACTTTCGCCCATGTGGGCGATACCTCAGCCTGCCATGTCTTGGGTCTGAGGCCTTTCTTGCAGCTCACTGTCCCAGCCAAGGTTGAGAACCAAACGAGAGTTACCCAGACTTGACCTGTAGCTCTGGGGGCACAGAGAGATCCCCAGTTCACATCAGGCTGGACTGGCACACTGGTCTCTGCATGCCCTGCCCTTCTCAGTGCCCCTGATGTCAATCTCTGCTGAAAGATGCCAAATTCCTGTTGAGGAAATGTTGAAAGCAAAGGCACCTCCCAAATTCAGGAAAACTGCTCCCTCCTGGGGGAGATCCTGGTGTGATGAGATGTGACTGAGCAAAGGCAGGGGGTGGGACATGATTCTGACCCATGGGCACAGTGCTTTACCAATCTTTGACCCTTCCCCCATGCTCAGAGCCAGTTATTTTCCCTGTTTGTGAGATAAGGAAAGGAAAATTCAGAAAGGTTAAGGAACTGTCCAAAGGTCACACAGCTGTAAAGTGATCCCAGGTCTGAATTCCAATGTACTCTTCAGTGGCTGATTTGGCTGGGACAGTTTCCTTTCTGCCCAAACCAGGTTGTAAATCAGGTCTGTGTTTTCCTGTGCCCTGAACCATGTACCCGCATCGAGCCTAACAAAGTGCCTGACACTGAAAAAAAAAAAATCTATTGAGGGAATGAATGATTGAATGAATGAATCATCACATCCAGGTAGGGGAAAGAGATTCTTATTCATGTGAGTAGAAAATCTGGAAGTGAAGTAAATTTTCTGTTCTGAGGCTTTTTCTTGTAAGAAGGCATGTGTCACTGTGTTTTGATTTGGTTTGGTTTGGTTTGTTTGTTTAAAACAATAAACATTGATTTAGCTCGTTAGTCACTGAGTTGGTGTGGGCCTGGCAGGTTCAGCTGGAAGATTGATTAGCTGGAAGGTGTGATGAGTCTTGGCTTTGCTGAGCCTGTACAGCCTCTTCCACGGATCTTTGGCCTTGGATCAGATGAAATCAGCTGACAGGTTCGGCTCCACTTGGTCTCTCACCTTCCAGGAGGCTTCTCTGGTCTCGTCCACCTGGAGGTTGCAGGGGTCTAAGAGAGTGAGCAGAGACAATATGACATCACTTCTGCCTCATTCCATTGGCCAAAGCAAGTCATCAGACCAGCTTAGGTTCAAAGACTAAAAAAGGCATGGATTATTTTTTTATATATATAAAATTGTGACCACTTTTCCAATCTACCATATGTTTTACATATTTGTACAGAAACTCTTAGCAACTTTCCCCCACAACTTGCTACTTTTCGTCTATATTATAATATTAAAAACAATTCATTCTATGAAGTTTGAAGTTTCTTACATATAATTTTACTCTTTTCTGCCTTCTCTGGCACCGGCATGTGTCGCTTTTGAAAAAGACAGAGGACTCCCACGCACACACATCTAACGTCGCCCTCCCTCCCCTGTCCTGTAGTCCTACTCTGGGATGTACAAAGTTCCAGTGATCTGCTTTCCCTCCCCAAGACACAATCCTCCCGACCTGGGTTTGGTCGAGGTCATGCTGAGAAAACCCTGAAGTGCGATTAAAGGTTCATTGCAGTTAGTCTTTGCTGCCGCATGGTGTCGCTGTTGAAACTGGGTCTTGCGTAGCCTTTTGGACATTTGTAACTTCCTGTGAGGGAACTGATTATTCAACAACCGTTGCAAGCATTTAAACTTTGATTCCAAAATTCACCGTTCGCACTTGTTTAGCCACTGTTTCTCAAAAATCAATACCTTCAGGTTCTGCCTGGATTTCAGAAGGCTTCTGACCTGAGACCCACGCTGTATCAGAACTAGACTGGTCCCTGCAAACCCTTGGGTGGAGGAGGCTGATAACCACAATAGCAAAACTACCGCACACTGAGCGCTTGCTTACCAAGCTGTCGGGTGCAGCTGTGCCGAGACTTCTTCATGGATAACATAATTCCCTTTAAGAGGAGAGGACACCTTATGAAAAGGACATGTTACTTAAGACATCGAATAATTCAAGACTTAACATAATTTAATAGTATACTTTCCGGAAGAATAATTGTTGAAGGCAAGGAGAGGAATCTCCAACCACTGGAGAATATTTTTGCCTTCATGCTATTTTTTATTCACCAAACACCAACACCTCTGGTGTTTCACAGAGTAGGCCCTCCTAAGTTAACTGCTTGGCCTTAGTTGGGCTTTTCCATGGTGTCTTATTATCTCTAACGTCCATTACAAAGGTATTGATTTTGGAAAGTGGTTTTTGGCACTCACACCACCACTTAATGAACTGTAAGATCATATCACTACAGGAAACAAAGTGTTTTAAATGACAATGTTGACTATTAAAACAACAGCACATTAGTCATTAATGTCACTATCAGAAGTTATGACAAACATAAACAACAGCTTGGTTCACACGATATGACATTGATGACAGTCATTAATGCAGCTCAAGTGATGCTGTCACGTGGCAATGGTGGTAAGCACAGGCTACAGCCTTCTTGGCTGACCAACTACGAAGTCGTGCAACCCTGGTGGATTTTTAAATTTAAGGGGATTTTATCCTAAAGGCAATATCTTCTCAGTTAGAATAAATTGGTTTGTTTCTTTGTAAGCTCATGGGAATAAATTAATTAATTCAGTGGATTTGCAGTTTTTCACATTTGCATGATTTGAATTTTTATAATATATGATGGCACCCCACCATTTTTATCCCCTTTTGTAAGTGAAAAAAACAAAGCTTTAGAGAACAAATCTACTCCTTCAAGTTCTTGCAGCTGGTGCGGAGTGGCGATAGGAGTCGACCCCGGTGCTCAGTGAGCTAGATTCCATTTCCCTCGAGGTTATTTTATTTTGTTTTATTTCTAAAGATGTTACTTATTTTTATTTCCAGAGAGAGAGAGGGAATTGGAGGGAGAAAGAGGAGAGAAACAATGATGTGTGAGACCATCGATCTGTTGCCTCTCACAGGCCCCCACATGGGGACCTGGCCCGCCACCCAGGCATGTGCCCTGATGGGGACTCGAACCAGCGACCTTTTGGTTCGCGGGCCAGTGCTCGATCCACACTGAGCCACAGTGGCTGGAGCCAGGTATTTTTATTTTAGAGAATTTACTGATATTCTTTGTCCTAAGTCGTGGTTGAAATTACTCTCTACAATTCTGAATCTTTGGAAGAAATGTTGGGAGAATATGAATTTCCCTTATCCTAGAAAAACCCTTATGCATGTTGGGAAAACTCCATCCTGACCTGCTTTGGCTACCAGG